CCACCCATTCATCTATCCATTCATCCATCCATCCACCCATCCACCCACCCACCCATCCATCCACCCATTCATCTATCCATTCATCCATCCATCCATCCACCCACCCACCCATCCATCCATCCACCCATCCATCCACCCACCCATCCACCCATCCACCCATCCATCTATCCATTCATCCATCCATCCACCCATCCACCCACCCATCCATCCATCCACCCATTCATCTATCCATTCATCCATCCATCCACCCACCCATCCATGAGAGGAAGACCTATCCCTCCTTTCCTTGCCAATTTTTCATGAGTATTTACTTCTCTTACGAGGCATTTCAGAGATGAGGTTGAAGAAATGAGTGTTTGTCAAGGTAGGTCCAGATCGGGACCCTGCAAGTTACAGCCTGAGTTTTATTTACAATTCCCCATGACGGTTTTAATCCTATTGGCGCGCCTTACCTTACTCTTCAGAGAATTTTTATTTGGGAAACACAGCAAATCGTTCATCCCTGAAACATGAGATAGTTTTGTGACTCTGAGAGTATTACAGAAATTATAAATGATAAGGAAACACTGGGCCAAATTTAAGTTTTATGTGACTCTCCAGGAATTATATAGGATGGGAATCTGACCCTTCGAGAGCTACAAATGTATCTAAGATGGAGGAGACTTGATGCGCAAGAGCCAAAGCTCATTAAATCATACTGGTAGTGCAATTATCTCCCAGCAAAAAGCCCCAGAGTTGAAGGTTGAGCTGGGGGTTGAGGGGTTGGTTAGGGAAACAGGGTTCCTCTTGTTAAAATAGAGCAATTAGTTTAATACATACTGTAGGGAAAGGAGAGAAGGGAAGGGAAATTCCCCTTGTCAAATGTCAAACATTTAGAATACCGCTTAGAGCAAAAGTAATAAGGCTCTCTTCGTGAAAAAAATTGGCCATATACCATGTCTAAATGCAAACATGTGTGTTCTTTGTGTCCTTAATTCATTTCAACTTCTGTTAACTGGGAATATTTTTATGTGCATTCTCAGTCATCTCCTTCCTCGCTCGAACAAAAATGTGTCAGAGGTCAGGAATGGTGCCTGTTGCCCCCAGTACATTTAGATACCATAAAATATTTAACGGCTCTTTCTAGTACAGTTAAGCCCTGCCAAATGGCTAAGCAAACTCGAATTTATAATTCATAGGCTGAAGCATTCAAAGGGCCATAATATTTTGGTGCTGTTAATTTATATCTCTTAGAGAGACATTAAATTTAAAGTGGGCCATTTAGAAGTTCTAATTCCTTTCTGTGACACAAAGAACCAAACCCATTTTTATTTCTAGCAGTTGCATTCTTTGCCATCAAGGGGAGCAGCATTTCTCTGAGAGTTTCAAGGTCTTTGGAGAGACATTTTAAGTCACCCTGGAAAATAGGTGATTCTAATTCAACTTGGATCCTAGTTTCTTGGGTTCTTATAGAAAGAGCAAAAGAAAAAAATAGGTTTCTGCAATGATACATGCAAAAACATGGATAGTTTTCAAAAGCATGCTGAGTAAAGTAAGCCTTACCCAAAATTACATCTACCAAATGACTTCATTTATCTGAAATTCTATGACAGACAAAATAATCTACATTGGAAAAAAATCAGAAGAGTGGGTTTTCTGGCTGTTGGGAGAACGGACTGACTGGGAAGGGCCAGAGGGAGTGTTTAGGATTATTAAAATGTTTTGTCTTCCTACAACTTTGGGTTACACATTTATCAGCAGTTAGCAAAAAACACCTAGGATGTACATTTCATTTTATGTTAATTTTACTGCAAAAGGAAAAATCCACAAGCAAATATAGAGCACCAGTTAATTATTTAACTAAGGAGAAGTGTACTCTTTCTATAATTTACTCTGAAATGCATCCAAAAATAAAATGATTTGGTGGACAGAGAGAAATAAGGTAAGGCAAGTGTGGTGCAGTAAATTGTGAATGGTAGAATCTAAGTAACGGATATCCCACTATCCCTATAAAATTCACCTTTTCCTTGATAACATGGAATTTCTCATAAGAAGTTTAGGGTGGGGTGATACTATCAGCAATCAGCCCAGGAAAACAGGACTTGGCTGGGAATGTCTCAGACAAGCTCAAATATAAGGATATCCTGCACATAAGTAATCCTCCATCTTCATTTAAACACAACAGTATTCAAAGTTTTGGTAAAGCCATGTGTCCCCTCTTCCTCCGAGACAGAGGCTGAAGAATGTGTGCACCAGAGGGTAGACGGAGGTGCTGACTCTGCCCTCTGAGATGTGAGTGGATTCCTTAGGGCCAAGGGTCCAGAAAGCTTTCAAGGAGGAGAGATTCACGCGGCCTATGCCCTTGCCCTTTTTCAACCCTTTGCCACTTTTCCTTCCTCAATCTCTTTTCTTGCTGCCTGGAACATAGATGCAACACCTGGAATTGCAGTAGCCATCTTGAACCTTGAGGATGCAACCCTCACACTTCAAGAATGGCAGAGCAGGAAGGTGGATGGCGCTGGAAATCAGCCCTGTTACAGCGACACTAAGATTTCTTGTTACCCAACATGAGAAAATGCTTATTATGAAAACATCTTAGATTTTCTGCTATAGCCAACCAAAGACAAGCCTAACTGATATTCAGGGTATATTAGATCAGCTCTGAAGAACTGTTTATTTTAATGCACATTAATTTGAGTAATTAACTGCATTGAACATTTTAACTAGGAGGGAAGAAAGATGGAATGTCATGCGCTTAAACAGAGGGGATCATGAATGCCAGGCATGGGTGAGGTAAAGGCAGACCCGTATGTATCTCTCTGCTCCCATTCTTCCTTCCTTCCTTAGAATCTTTGTATGGACATGTTAGAGAAACACAGAACTTAGGCTTGACATGAAGAGAAGCTGCTCCAAAGAGCAAGACATGGCAGCTGGGAGGGTTATGGACAGAACTGGGAAAACCATCAGTGAACAGCCAGTCTCAGGGTGGCATTAACTGTGCTTATGGGAATATATGAAGAGCTAAGGGAATTCTTATCCTAACTTCTAAGTAGGTCCAGCCAGTAGATGGCTCTACATGGTAACCAAAGCCACATGGGCCTCCATGCCTAGGTTCTGGAGGTAACTACTCGAAATGCTGAGCCTAGGGACATTTAGTAACAATGACAGCAAATCCCTTCAGCATCCAGGACTGGGGCCACTAGGAAATATAGCAAACTGGGACAGACGAGTTACTCTGCGGGCATTGCCAAGACTTTCCAACCTTATGCTCATAATTCAAGCAAAATGAATTCTCACTACATGAAGACAGACAAGTCATAGATCTATACCTTTCTTATGTTCCCCAAAACCACTGGCTTCCTGCCTAAGGCATGTATAAAACTTTAATCTGCTAGACTTTTTTAAAGGGTGATTTCATTGAGCATCAGTATGGAGGACACTTTAAATGAAGGTCTTTCAACATCTTATGATTAAGCATCGCATCATTCTGATACTGTTTAAGGTCTGTCATCAGGCAATGGGGCAACACTCCCCAGTAATGCAGACAGCAACAGCGGGAACACAGGCAGGGAACTATCTGCCACAGCAGCATCCTGGAATCCACATGGTCAGTTTCACTAGACACTTGCTTCATACAGAACCTAAAAAAATTGCAAACATCTTTCATAGCCAAAACTTGCCCCACTTCAATGACTAACATGGTGTGAGTGGCCCTTGAGTTTGTAAATCTGAAAGTCACGCTCAATCAACAAGGGAGGGACCTACTTTCGTAGTCAAACCTGTTTTCTGCTTAGGACTGGATTTTTTTTAATTGCTAGTGAAAAATGGTTCTGGAAAACACTAACTTCCTCATTTTGTAGTCATTATTTTGCCCCCTTTTGTTCTTGAAAACAGCAGCATTCAAAAAGAAAAATTTCCCCTTCTTAGCTTTAAAGTTCTTGCCCTGTCTTAGTTACATGTGGGTTTAAAACACATTTTTATTTCAAGGAATGTCACTATTTGTAACAGACACAAGTAAGCATGATAGCACAATCATGCACTACACAGTGACATTTCAGTCAATAAAAGGCCACAAATACCATGGTGCTACCAGATCACAATGCGACCGAAAAATTCCTATCGCCTAGTGGCATCGTAGCTGTCATAACATAGTGCAACGCATGCCTCATGTGTTTTCAGTGGTGCTGGTGTGAACACACCCACTGGGCTGCCAGTTGTATAAAAGTAGAGCACATA